AAAATCTTTTGTGATAGTACTTGTGTATACAATTACTCTTTTGCCCTTATTTTTATATTAAGTACAAGACATATATCGTGTCGTCCTTGTCCAGTTCAATATTGGGCCCTTAGACATTTATCCTGTTATGCAGGATGAATAAATTTCATCTAGGTCACTCATATCCTTCAACATACTTTGTGGAGTATCCATCAACTGTCTTTATAGTCATCTCGTTATGGACAATGTTAGATCAGTAATAAAATACTCGACTCTACATCTAAGGTCCATAGTGGTTTCAGTTCGAATAGTGGTATACACCATTATCACCATAAGAGTAACTTATGACACTTTGTATAACATTCTATGTAGTACTCTCATAGCGGGTCAATCCAGTATAAATATTACTCCTAATACTCATACCTATGTTAAGACTTGATAAATCCTTATCCATGATTCATGAGATGTGATCATAAGTCTATCTACATAATAGTCTTAATGTTTTAAGGTTATCTCACTTCACAGTAAAACTCGGCTATGGATACTTTAAGAATAGTGTCATTATGTTTAATGGGATCTCATGATTAATTCACACTTAATATTTAATTAAACAAACTAGCTATTTTAGGGACTTTATTATTCTGAAAAAACAAATATAATAAAGAAATGCCTTTTATTATTAATAAATAATTTGATACAAGTACCAAAAGTAATGGCATATGGGGTTTACACCAATAACAACACACTTGCCAAACTCTTCCACGTAATCTTTACTCGAATACATTTCTTGAATCTTCCAATAACACCAATTCTCCTCCAAGCCTTCGTGTGTAGCTAGCTATCAACCCCTTGATCCTACTGATTTCTTGAACAGTGAAATTGTCTAAAGATTTGAGAAAAACTTCACCTTATCAACAACCTTCCACATATACACTACTAAGGCAATTATGGAGTGAATAACCAACTTCTTTTCAATGGAAATTGTCACCACAAATGAAAATCACCTCAATCTTGCTAACAAACTGAAGAAAAAAAACAAGATCTCCAATAACAATTAGTTTCAAGTACGTGCCTCCTTCAATCAATTACAGAACTCTCGTCATCAAGATCTAAACTCAATTGAAGTTGAAGATGCAAGAATTTTATAGCAAGACTTTGAACACTCAAAACATAGAAAATTGATTTTTCATTAAATCATACTGAAATTTATGATCAGAATGATAGATGATGTGAGGAGAAATTATGACAAAAAACGTTTATATGTGATTGAGATTAAGCACACAAAATGGTTGAAAAAGTAAGCTAGATTTGAATCAAGAACAATTTATGATTTGAATCAAATGAGCAAGTGTAGTGGAATAAAAAGAAAAATAGAATTTTGAAAAACTACCAGTTGATTTGAATCAGGAAAAGGCGGTTCAAATCAAATGTCATGTGATTCGAATCATGTGTAAATATTCATTCGAATCAAATGCCACAACACGACAATGAAGTTTTTGAAAAAGTGAATAATTTGAATCATGCACAAAGTTTGATTCGAATCGAATCAAACATAATTGGTCACCATGTAAATGATTCATATCAAGTGCAAAATTTGATTTGAATCAAATGACTAGGTTTCACTTCTATCAAATTTGATTAGGATAAAAAATTCAGTGTAAATTGAATGATTCGAATCGATCTTGTAAAATAAAAAAATTTCAAAATTTTAAAGGCACTTTGAGAGTTTACTTTGAATCAAATTTAAACCAAAAAACAAAAAGTTTTCATTCCACTAACATATATTATCGATCAAATAACATCGTGATCAAGATCAAATCTTACCAAAATTTTATGCATGCTAAAATTGAATCTTTTCAAACTTGATTCCTAGAAGTGTAATCATGAAGGAGACTCAACGAATCGAAATAAAACCAAATATGAAAGTGATAAGACAAGCAACAAAATAACCAGATATAGATGCTCCCCCTGATCGAAGTAGGGACGTGCCACTACAATCTCCTTCTTTTTGCTGCTTGACATGCTTTCACTTGAATTTGAGCCGACCTTAGAGTGTAACGCGCATGCTCCCCCTGGAACATTGCACAAACTACTCACATCATAAAAAACATAAAACAATTATAGACTCATGACAACTTCTCCCTTTTTGACAACATCCTAAAGAGATAGTTTGAAATGTGAATAAGTTGCAAGTACCACTAGTACTCTTCATATCCAACTTGCACCCCGCGAAATCAGAATCATAATAGCTGTAATACCCCAAATTTTGCCCTAAGATTAGTCGTTTCATCTTGCATCCCATTTCATTTTGCATTGCGTTTAAACTAACCACTAACGGGTTGTGCAGTTGTTTGATTGTTACAAGAAAATATCATGTGGCGCGCTCTTTTAGTTTACAGGGTTTCTAGTGCCACTTTATTTTGAAAGAATAAAATAGCACAATTGGCAAGAGACCGTGTGTAAGGAGTTGTGAGGGTGAGAGGTCGAGAGTTCGAATCCCACCTTCTTCAAAAAATCATAAAATTAAAAATATTAGAAAATATTTTATTCTTTTTATAATGTTTTAAGTTTGTTTTAGTTTGTTTTTTAGCTTTGACTAATTATTTAAGTTGGGCTTTAAAGTGGGCATTAGGTTAGAGTTAACCCTAATTTGTTACCTATATAAACATATGCATTTGATAAAAGGGGAGGAGACAAAAGAGAAAAACGGCGGCCGTTCTCCCGACTTATCAGAAGAGGAGAGATTTTTGAAAAAACCATCATCGTTCATCATCAACGAACTCCATCGTAGAAAAGCCACTTCAAACCCATGAAAGGTGAGTAACTCTTATTTCTAACGGATGTTTTCTTTTGATGTTTTTTTTTTGCAGGAAAAGAAGAAGGGATCGTGCCCATGTTTTTTTTTTTGAGTAACTCTTGTTTCTAACAGATGTTTTCTTTTGATGTTTTTTTTTTGCAGGAAAAGAAGAACGGATGCATAAAGCAGATAATAAAATATAAAAAAACATACAATAAACAGAAGGTTCTTGTAGAGTACTACAGAAGTTTAGGGTGCTAGTACCTTCCTTAAATTTAACCAACCCCTTACCTAGGTCTCTCCCCGCATTGTGTTTATGATGCAAAAATAGGTTTTCCCTTTTTTAACCTTTTCCTTCGGATAAATCAAAGAGCGGTTGTGAATCAAGAATTGTGATTCAAACTAATTAATAGTTTGATATCCTATTTCCACCGCAACAATAGCCTACCAAGCTATAAGCACTTCCTTTAGAATACATACAATTGTGATTGGAAGTTCCGTTAATATACCTCAAAATGCATTAAACGATCTTAAAGTGGGAATCCTTAGAAGATGTTTGATATCTAGAACGCATGCACACACTAAACATGATATCTGACCTTCTTATAGTTAAATAAAGTAAGGATCCGATTATACCTCTATACCTGTTTACGTCGAAATCCATTCTTTTTCATCTTTGTTAATAAGCACATTTGAAGCCATTTGTGTTGATATTGTCTTTGAATGTTTCATCTCAAACTTCTTGAGAAGATTTAGACAATACTTCGTTTGAATTATGAAAGTGCCTTCTTCGTCTTGCTTTATTTGCAATCCTAAGAAGTATGTTAACTCTCCCATAAGTGACATCTCAAACTCCCCCTACATCAAACTAGCAAATTCTCGACAAAGAGATTCATTAGTAGACCTAGAAATTATATCATCTACATAAATTTTAACTAAGAAAATATATTTTTTCTTATGTCTTATAAACAAAATTGTGTCGAATTTCTCAAGATTGAATCATTGTTTGATAAAATATCCACTCAATCTCTCATACCAAGCTCTAGGAGCTTGTTTGAGACCATAAATGACTCTTTTCAACTTAAAAACATGATTAGGATTATTGTGATCCTCAAAACCTTGAGGTTGTGAGACATAGACATCTTCATTTATATGGCCATTTAGAAAAGTAAACTTAACGTCCATTTGGTAAAGCTTAAAGTCTATACAACAAGCGAATGCCAAAAGTAATCTAATAGCTTCAAGACGAACTACACGAACATAAATCTTCTCATAATCTATCCTTTCAGCCTGGTTATATCCTTTCGCCATTAACATAGCTTTATTATAGTAATTACCCCATTTTCATCCATCTTGTTCCTAACTACCCATCTCGTGCCTATGACAATCTTATCAACCGGATGCAGAACAAGGTCCCAAACGTTATTTTTTTTTTTAAAATTGAGTTAGTTCTTATTGCATAGTAAGTAACCATCCCCATCAAGTGAGACATCAACTATCAATTTAAGTTCAACTAAAAAATGAAAGCGGAGTACTTATAAAAATGGTTAACATGTGATCTATTACTTACTCCCCTTTTTATGTCTTCTAAAATTTAATCTAAAACGAATAATCATTGCGATTGTCCAATCTCGAGACAATTGGTTTAATGTATCTGGTAGACTTTTTTTTAATGAAGTATCATGAGAATGCATAAAAATTTATGTAAATAATTTATTATTGATTGTTATTATAAGTAAAAAAAATTGGTATTTAATATTGATTGTTGTTATAAGTTAAAAATGAGTATTTAATCTTGAATGAGCTTTTTTTTAATATTAAAAAAATATTTTAATAAATTTAACTTATATTTTATATAATATATTAATATAAAAATTTAGATTAAAATAAAAATTAAATAAAATACTTATTTATAAAGATTTGGACACATTAAATACCATTCCGAAAAAAAAGAAGAAAAAGTCATTGCTAACTAAAGATTAATGCACCACAAACAACCACGCCAAAACGACATAGGAGTATATTATAAACTTACGAGTATATTATAAATAGAGTTTAATGTAAAATAATTTTATATTTCACTATTTTCACTATTGAATTGAAAAAGCTAGGTATTGACGCGTAGTTACGATTCAGATTCACCATCTTCCTTCGATTCAACGAAGCTTCATCAATGGCGGCACAGTAAAATCGAAAACGATCACAATATTCTAAATCATAATCTATGGCGGAAAACGTAATCGGTTCACCACCATTGACTATGGACCCTCAAATTCAAAACCCCTCTTCTTCAAACCCTATAATTCCATCTCCTTCACAAATCCACCACCACCAACAACAACAATCTCCTTCAATTCACATGAATTCTTCATCACCATCTCTCTCTCAAGATCAACAACAACAACATTCACAGTTACATAGCATCAACAACCCTAACCCTAACCCTAACCCTAACCCTAATGTTTCCACTTTTCAACTTCAACAAACCCTACAGCGTTCACCTTCCATGTCCCGCCTTAATCAAATTCAACCTCAGCAGCAGCAGCAACAACAAATTGCCAGGCAGCAAGCCGGACTTTATGGCGGGCAGATGAATTTCGGTGGTTCAGCTGCCGTCTCTGCTCAGCAACAACAATTAAGCGGCGGTGTTGGTGTTGGCATCGGCGGTAGTGCTTCCAATTTGTCACGATCGGCGTTGATGGGACAGAGTGGTCACTTCCCAATGTTGTCTGGTGCTGGAGCAGCACAGTTTAATCTATTAACCTCGGTATGTAGATATGAATTATTATTTTTTTCATTAAAATTGTTAGTCTGTGAGATATGATTTTGAATTTTTGAACTCGGTGTTGTAATTTGAAACATTGCATTCAAGATTTTTGTAATTTGTCATTGTTGTGAATGTGATTATGAGATGGACTTTGTGTTTGGTGCAGCCGAGGCAGAAGAGTGGGTTGGTGCAATCCTCCCAATTTTCTTCGGCTAATTCCGGTGGACAATCACTGCAAGGAATGCAACAAGCCATTGGGATGATGGGGTCGTCTAATCTAGCCTCTCTGAGGGCTAATGGAGCTCTTTATGCCCAGCAGCAGCAGCAGCTTCGATTGACTCCTAGCCAAATCAGGCAGCAGCTCTCACTCTCACAGCAGGCTTCACTTAACAATCAACAGGTATGACCCAATTTGGATTAGTTTCCAGCTTATGTTGTTTCTCAATTTATATATGTTTCATGCTTCTTCAGTTATGAAAAATGTCTACAAGTTCATTGGTGTTTAAGCAAACTTTACACACATGCCACATAACTTTTTGGGTTATGCCACCCAATTATAAAAATGAACCATTAAATTTGAACTGGTAACTGCAGATCCACCAAATTTATACAACCTTAGGATTTATATCTCTCTTGTCGTATTTGCATTTACTAGGCATGGCTTGAACATGCTAACTTTCATGCATTGAATGATTTGGATTGATTGTACCCTTACCTTCCTTTCATGCCGCAACTCTTTCCTTCAAAGTCTCCGTTCTTGTTCACATCAGTTTGATTCAGAGTAGACAGCATCCTTCACATATTTTTAAGCTTGTTTTGTCTTCACTCACTTATGCCCTTTCAATAAGATTTCTATCAAATTCTCCGGGTCTCATTGAGTTGCTTTTTTCTCCGCACGTTAGTTCACATCTCGAAGTTTAATTCATTGATCATCAGGTCAGTACCATTATAATAGATTTATAAACCAGACCCTTAAACATAAGGAAAATGAGCTATAGAACAGAACTGAAGAGGTGGTTTACCACTATGTCATGCCAAGTGATTCACACTTTATTTTCCTTTTGATTGATGGCAATCCTATAGATTGACAGCTTGGATTAGTTAATAGACATCTCATGTAATGTAAAATTTTTAATTTTTTCCAAATATATCAGTTGTTTATGAAGACAAGAGGAGCAGAATACTCTCAGCCATAAAGTAGTTAAATGTGTTTGTCTATTAGAATATCTAGTTCAAAAGCTAAGCTGTGTTTTTATCTTTTTGAGGTTAGAATGAAACAATTAAAATAAGTTACACTTCTCTCCTAACAGAAGCCTAAATTAATTTCACCTCCCTCATTCAATAACTGCATTTCTCTCACCAGATAGATGGATATGTGCAAGACGTAATCCTTTTTAATGTAACCAAAATTATTGATAATTCTTTTAGGTATTTGTGATTCTTAACACCATCAACATATATTTTTTAATCCCTATTATCAAATTATGGAACATTATAATGAACTTGGGCAAATTGACAAAGCGCATTAAATGGATGTTTAAAACTTCATTTTATTGGCCAAGTCCTAAACTCAACAATGAAGTGTTTAAAATTTGTTGTGGTGTAATATTGGAAGTTGTAGAAAAAGGAAAAGTTTCACTAGAGGCTTATTTATAGTTTTTCACTATCACTTGAAGATTTGTATACTTTGCTATGTGGTATAATGTAATAAATTAATGAAGTTTCCAAATACATGTAAATATGTAGATAATACCTTTTGAAATGAATTGAGTTGTATTTGAACATTGACTGTGCTGCTGACTACAGGTTCAAGGTTTACCAAGGTCATCATCCCTTGCTTTTATGAATTCTCAGTTGTCTGGATTGTCTCAGAATGGACAACCTGCCATGATGCATAACTCTTTAACACAGAATCAGTGGCTTAAGCAAATGCCAGCAATGTCTGGCCCTGCCTCCCCATTGCGTCTTCAACAACATCAGAGGCAGCAGCAGCTGGCTTCATCTGCTCAACTGCAACAAAACTCTATGAACCTAAGCCAACAGCAATTGTCTCAGTTGATTCAACAGAAATCCATAGGCCAGCCTCAGCTTCATCAACAGCAACAGCAGCATCCATCCTCCCAGCAACAACAACAACTTCTACAGCAGCAGCAGCAACAACAACAATCTCAACTACAAGCATCTGTTCATCAACAGCAACAGCAGCAATCTCCGAGGATGCCAGGACCTGCAGGCCAAAAAACACTAAGTTTAACAGGATCGCAGCCAGATGCTACTGCATCTGGTACGACTACACCTGGTGGAAGTTCAAGCCAAGGAACCGAAGCAGCAACAAACCAAGTACTTGGAAAGAGAAAGATACAGGATTTAGTTGCACAGGTTTTCTTTAAATTTGATTATTTTTTTCCCCTCCAAGTATCTATTTAATGGCTATGGCTATGGCTATATTTTGAATTTAATCTTCTATACAACAGGTGGATCCACAAGGTAAGCTGGACCCTTCAGTTATAGATCTTCTTTTAGAGCTTGCCGATGACTTCATTGATTCTGTAAGTACTCTAATATGCTTACCTTTTTCCCCTTCATTGAGAAATCTGTGTTAGTGTGTGTGTGTGCGCGTGCGTGTGTCGTCTATTCTATATCTGTATTTTGATATTGAAAATCCGTAGATGATTTGTTTTTAGCTTAGAGTGTAATATTTTTTTGGTACAAACTTGCGTTGTTCTTATGTGCAGGCTACTACACATGGTTGCATTTTGGCAAAACATAGAAAATCATCAACTTTGGAGTCCAGGGATTTATTGCTACACCTAGGTATGTTAGTATTTCTTATTTCTGAGTTTTAGTCCACCCCTAAAGAAGAATGCGCTACTGCATGTTTCTTACTTTACTTTGGTGTAACTTAGATAAGAAATTTACTAATAGAGTACTACTGTCTATTCTAATTGGATAGAAAAGAAAAAATGTTTTGTGAATCTTTTTGCTTTTAGATGATATACAATAGTGCCCTTGTGGTTTTTGTCTGTGGTTTTCTGAATCTTTTTGCTTTTAGATGCTATATCTTTCTTGTATCTATATGTCTAATATTATGCATGATATTTCTCTATTTGTATCCCATGTTTATGTTTCTTGTTTGATCTTTAGCTTTTCATTTGATGGAGTGATGAAGTCTTTATTGTTGGCCTAGATCTATTAGAGCTTTGGGCTCTTTGGACATACTTTTTGACCGTTGTTTTCTTTAATCATTCATAGACTTGGAGAAAAACAATGCTAGTTATAGTTATGAGTAATTTATTTAACAACATGTATTAAATAACATATAACATATTAATGTGCTCTTACAGATTTACATTTGGTTATTAATTATTACCAAAAATAGAATTATGCTTCTAGGTTTCGAAGTTTAAATATTGATGTGCCTAAAAACCAAATAAGTGGTCCCATTGTTTGATATTTAAACTTGTGCAATATATATTTGTTCAGCAAACCACTAATAATTGTTTCATTGTATTGTACTGGTTTATGCTGTCATGTGTAATATTGATGTATCAAATGTAAGCTCTAATGTGCTCTTTGAAACTAGTATAATGTATGAATGACCATTGATTTCTCTTATACCTTTGGTGAGATATAAAATTTTAATGCTTGACGGATAATACTAATATTTATAATTATATCAAATAAGAGTTAACAACCCAGTTCGCTGATTTACTTATTTTCGGTGTCATTATTCAGAGAAAGACTGGGATTTGACAGTTCCAGGGTATTCAAGTGAGGAGAAGAAGTGCCAGAATAGACCTGTAAGCATCAAATAGTTTTTCTCCTTTTCTCTTGTGGGCCTGTTTACCCTAAGTAAGTAAATAAATGTAAATATTAATATATATATATATATGATAATAATTTGATTCTTGCTGTGCTTTAAACTTGCAGCTCTCCGGTGTCTCTCACAAAAGGCGGCTAGATGTGGTAAGTTTGAAGGACTCATCTGCTTGATTGATTTGTATACTTCTTTCATTGGACAATAATATAGTGGACATGTTCTTTTTTTTTTTGCTAACTATTCTACAATCAGGTTCGCACATTGATGGATTCGTCTTCACACCCCCAACCAACTATTAACAATTCGAAAGATATCAGTAGACAGGGCCATCCTAACCCTGTAGTTTCCAATCATCTAATAAAACCCTTGAGTTCAGACCAGTTGGTTTCACATTCAACTGGTTCTCAAATGCTACAGCAGATGACAAGATTTTAATAAACTTCTCTATTTCTGGTCTTCATTCTACTAGATTTCACTGCCTGTATGCTGCGGGAAGGTGTCTTCTTTGGTTCATTCTGTTTCAAAGCCATCTATTTATTTTTGCTTACTGTTTCCAACAAGTCAATATAATTCAAAGGATGAATAGTTATTGTAATCAGGATTCCTTTCTCTCAATTCCATTGCAGAAGTCATGGTTATTGCTGTTTAAATGCAAAAGAGTAGCATATATTTATTCTTTTTTAGTATACAGTGATGGCAAAGTTTTAAATTTATGAGCTAATGAAAACTATTATGTCCTTCACCATTAACTAGTATGTATATATATATGATGACAAATTTACTGTATGGATTTCTTAGAATTCGAGAAAAATTGTAAATATTTTGTTTTTAGATATGATTTAGTTGTTAAAAGGATTCCAGTGATTGACTTCCTTTCTCCTGATACCCTCTTGCCCACTTAATAGTAATGAATTTTCACTGTTTGACCCAAATAATGGATTTGTTGTGGCCATTGGTGTCTATAAATTCATTTGGTTATTCAAATTTCTCTATTTCTGGTGGACTTGAAAAACTGTTGTAATGTTTCAGTTCTGAATAGTGTAAAGTGACTGACATGCCGTATGTAATTACTAGTATCTATAAATTGACTAATATTATTTGTGAATTTGTAATTCATTTACCAACATTTTAACAATTAATATAAAATTCTTGTTGTGTTTGATCATCAATGTAAACAATATTCAGGGGAAAATGCTATGAGAGAGAAGTAGAAAAGTGTAGTAATCATCTAACTCAACTGCTTTCAAGTAATCAATCAGGGGAAAATGCTATGAGAGAAAAGTAGAAAAGTGTAGTGATCATCTAACTCAACTGCTTTCAAGTAATCAATCATCAAGCAATATAATAGACTTTATTTATTCTAATTTCTTAAAAACTACTTTCAAGTAATGAAGCATATGTAAAAGAATTATGGTGGTGAAACAACACTTTTGTCATCAAAATTGTAGGAACGGATAAATTAATTTTCAAATGATACACTAGTTTAGTATATATTTGGTTCTCTGGTGATAAAATTTAAAATTGAATGAATTAATTTTAGAAAATTTATTTCATTAAAAGCGATATTTAAATATATCTACTAATAAAAATCATATTTATACTCAATAAGCTATAATTAATTAATGACAGCCAATTTTACTAAATGAAACATATTAAAATAAGATTTCAAACATTGAACGAAAAATAGTATGATCAGATGCAAAATTCATTTTTATCATTTTGGATCTCTAAAATTTAAATGATTCATTGAATTATAAATTTTGTTAAAAGAAAATGTTTTAAACTCAACTCTTCCGTAGGTTTTATGTCTCACAAGACAAGTGACAAATTTTTTTGAATGCGTGAGAGAGGAAATAGAAAGCAAGAAAATTTAAATAATCAAACACAATCAGTTGTTGGTTGGTCCCCTTCCCTTATGACGTTGACGTACGAGGAGTACGATACGCAACACTCACACCCAAACAAATTACTTAAAGCTTTGCATGTTTTCTTGTCTTGTTTTTCATTTTTGTCATTTTTTCTCTTATATTAATTAATGACTCATAACATACTTGTCCCTTTTCTTTGTCACCTAACACCTCTATGGATCCATGGAAAGTACGTATATTTTTCTAACCTACTAAATATGTGTATTAAACTAAATGCACTATATGTAGTCATTGTTTTCATGAGCGTCATAGTATTAGTGAAGTGTTTTTTGCGTGAAGAAGAAGAAGAAGAAACATGGGTAGAATTCCTAAGGAGATTAATAAAGGTGCTTGGTCTCGTGAAGAAGATGATATTCTCTCTAAATATGTTGCCACTCATGGAGAAGGAAAATGGCAAAAGGTTGCACAAAATGCAGGTATATGTGCTCTACTAATTTGCATGCTTCTTCATCTTTCTCTAGCAATGTTTTTTCATGAGACTAGTATCATTTGCTATCTCTTCAGTCCAATCTCGATAGTTGGGTTACCGACAAGTTTTTCTGAAAAAATTGCAGAGGATACAAGATGATTCAATATATTTTCCTTAAATTTTGGGTTCGATACTGTTGTCTAATGTTTGTTTTTCTTAAATAGTTTTAATCTATCTCTTTGGTTTGTGTTTAGGTTTAAAACGATGTGGAAAAAGTTGTAGACAAAGATGGTTGAATTATCTAAAACCAGGTATAAAGAGAGGCGACATTTCCACGGATGAAGAGGATATGATCATACGACTTCATCGTCTTCTTGGTAACAGGTGATTTTACTTTTGTGACAATTTTTCAGAAGTCTCTTAATATTGTTCAAAATGCTAGCTTCAGTTAACTTTTCGGATTATATAGATATGTACTTTCAATATTTGAAAATTTAACTGATAGATATGATTGTTCGAGTCAGAAAATTTAATTATCATAGTTCATTTTTTTTGTTAAAATGAATGACTAAAATTATGACATTTGTTATGTATATAGATGGTCTTTGATAGCTAAGAGATTACCAGGACGAACTGACAACGAAATCAAGAATTATTGGAATACAAATCTATCAAAGAAGTTACAAAAACAACCTACATCATCATCATTTTTTGTCTCACTTCATGACAATCACAACAAACATGGACATATAGTACCAGAAGCTCCAAGGCCAAAGAGATTGAAGATTGTTCATCAACACAACAAAATCTTAGATAATAACAATGGAAGTGAGTGTGATCAAACAAGTGATGAAACCTCAATTGCTGATTTCCTCATTGACAATGATCATCAAGAAAGTTTGTTGGCTTGTGATGATGAGTCCAACACTACCAACTCAAATATTCCACAAATGGAACAAGATCACAAGAAGGTAGTTTCAACCAATAGTACTCATAACTCATCATCTTCCTATGATCATTTTCGTCTTTTATCGGAGAAATTCGATCCTCTAGATACCCTTTTGGATGTGGAGCTCAAGAAGATGGCTTCTTTTCTTGGACTTGAAAATGATTGAAAGTGATTTCTTGCAATCAAAGGACTAAGATAAGTAAAAAATCAAGTGAGTTGGGAATCATGTAGAAAAAGCTATATGATATCTATATATGTATTACCTAACTAAACATCTAATTCTATATCTAAAATATTCAAATTAAATTTATAGACCCTAAATGAGAGGCTTGTTTTGCATATAAAAAAATTATGGTTCAAAAGTATTTTGATCCCTTTAATTCTACAAGTACACTTGTTAATTAATTTGCAGTGTCAAGTTATTTCTTAATTAATACTCATAGCTAGCTTTATTTCGTAAGCATTGAAGGAAGGGTTTTGATTGTGCAACAATATAAATGAACACTTTCCTACACTTCCCTCCTAACATTCTTATATAGAATATGAAAGTTTGTTGGTGTAGGAACCTCAAACTATATGTTTATTTGTTCTTGAAAAAACAAAGACATTTCTTACTTGTGAGGTTCAATAATATTAATTGCACGTTACTATTTTATACATCATCTGGTTTTAAATATAAGCAATTTTTTTAATGTATTTGATTCAAATTTGTTCCATAACGAATCAGATATAGATATAGGTGAAGATTTAGCGAACTTGAGTTATGATGTGGTGGAGTAAGTTTTCGATGCGGCGGAAGTGAATTTGTAAGATTAATTCTTTAATGTTCAAGACAGTGAATGAATGAGAAAATGGTTTGAATGTATGAATGACTGAATGATGATTTAAAATAACGCGCGTTGTGATTTATATAAGACTGACAGTTAAAATAGTTTCTATGAGATTCAACGCCATATACAGGTGATTGTTTGATCAGATCCAACAGTAGTGTGTTGGAGATCGAAATATGTGCCCTTAATTGGGGTGAAGTATTACTTGATTTGCACACATTTTCGATTACACTTCCATGTTAATCGATTATAACACTTGAATTATTAAGAAACTCTACACACCACTTTAATTCAAGTGTTTCAAGTCTTTCATGTCTTTGTTCATCTTCAACCTCTTGAACACTTCAATTGTGAGTCCTTTGGTCAACAAATCAACAATTTGTTCTTTACTTCGACAATATCCCAATCTTAATCTTTCTTCACTAACAAGTTTCCTCAAGTAGTGAAAACTTATCTCAATGTGCTTACTCCACCCATGTGCAACTGGGTTCTTAGTAAGATTAATCGAAAAACGTTATCAACTAGGAGTGTAACAACATCACCCTCATTGCTGTCCATCTCACTCAATAGATTCATTATCCACATGGCTTGACACACACATAACGAAACATCAATGTACTCGACCTCATAAGACGAGAGTGGAACTACTGTTTTCTTCTTCGAGCACCATGAGATCAGTGTTTCGTTGAACATAAAAATATATCCAATTGTAGACTTTCGATCATCTTTATCTCCAAACCAATTAGAATCGATAAAATCAAGCAAATTGTATTTTTTTACCCGTGTCCGCTGCGGAAAGGAGAATTTTGCAGCCAATCGATCCTTTGATGTATCTTAGGATCCTTTTGACTGCTACTTAGTGAGACACATTCGGTTTCTCTATCAATCTACTCACAATACCAATAATAAATGCCAAGTCCGGTCGTGTATTGCATAAATAACATAAGAATCAAATTAGCCTCCTATACTAAGTTGGATCAACATCTTACTCATCCTCACTCTTTGACAATTGTAGCCTTGGTTCAACCGGAGTAATGACATCATTATAATACTTTATGTAAAAATTCTTCGACATCTCAAGCGCATACCTTTTTTAGTGCATGAGCAGTCCCCTTTTGGACTTGTGAAACTCAACGCCAAGGAAGTATGTTATGAGATCAAGGTCGATCATCTTAAGTTCTTTCATAAGTTCACTATTGAACTTAGAAATTCACTTTTCATTGCTGCCTATTGTTGCGGGGAAGTTTGTGAGTGTAAGCTATTGATTAACTTAACTAAAAATGTAAGATTCACCACCGCACTTTTGTTTTACTCAAAAG